TGGGCGCCTGGTGTCCTTCACAGGTAGCCTGGGGAGGATAAAACTACTGGGTGCCCCACCCCAACCTCAGCGATCCTGAATGAGCAGCATCACCTCTAGGGCCGGGCACAGGCTGGTCCCATCATGCTTTTAGGTCCCAGGCATCCGCTGACATTATTCTCTGCCATCCTTAGCTCTGGTCCTCCTGGTCCTTCTGGTTTTGTGTCTGCATTTCAGGCACCAAGAGAAAGAAGGGCGAAAAGGCAAAGGCACGTGCCATCTAAGCTTGCCTTCCACAAGCTTTCTCCAAAACTCCAACAGGGGAGCTTTCCATCTCTCGTGGGGGACGGGAAGGTTTTCAAGTAGGACCGTGGTCAGGTTTGTATTTTTGAACAATCTCTCTGGACCTGTGCACAGGATGGTGGGCGGAGGAGTCAACATCAGTCGAAAAAACCCGTGAAGAGGCCGACCTGATGATCCAGTCAAGAGTGATGGGAGAGTAGGAGATTTAGGGAAGGAGGCGAGAAGGGGGTGGGTGGGTTTAGAAAGATACTCAGGGACAGAGACAACAACTGGGCCACTAGACTCAAAAGGACACGACGGGGGAGGCTGGCAGGAAATGAGGAGCTGACAATAGTGAGCACAAGGAAGAAGGCATGTCCTGGAATTGGGGGTGATGAGGGTGGCACCACTCTGACAAATGTGATTGAATATATGAGATGTGATGTGTTTGTCTGTGAAATGGATTAAAAAACAAAACATGAATTAATACTTCGGGCTATCCCTTCACTCCTGGATATTGGTGATAAGGGGGAGAGAGGTGTGAAACTTTGGTTTGGGGCTTGGACCCCGGGGAATCGTCCTGAAGAGCTAGGAGAAGCAGGCTTTGGGGGGCCCATGATAGCTCCATTTTGCACGTGTCCAGTTTGAGAAGCCTCATTGGCTGGCTAGGTATTAAAAGAGGAGACAGACTTGCCATGATCTGGTGCGTTGAGATTGCTCTGTGACCCCCGTGGGGAGCTTGACGCATAACTGGGGGTGGATTTCTTGGCGTCGCCACTTTATCCTGGGTTGGCCCTGGGAGCTACTGTCCACTAAAAACCCATGGAGACAACCTTCTATCCTGAGTTGCTCTCTCCAGTGGAGACCTCTGAGAAATCATCCTCTACCCACCAGGGGTAACCAGAAAACCATTCTCGGATTTACAGAAACACCCAGTGTGCTGGGATACTTCCTGTCGTTGTCTTCATCTCGGACCGAGGGTCTGAGTCTCAGCTGAGCCACCGGGGCCTGCAAGTCATGCTGTCTATGGCCTGGCAAAGCGGTTTCTCCTGCCAGGGGGACCACGGCCTCTCAAGCCACGGCTTCCAGGAATGGGAGCCAATATCCATTTCCTTCCTTCCTGACTTGACCTCTTTGGGCCAATTAGGCCCAAACTGTAAAGGACTCTGTACTCTTCTTTCACTGTAAGTCCTGCAGGAGAGGACCTGGGAACAAAGCCCCTGGTGAAGAACCGAGGAAGGGCAGAACAGCAAGTTGAGCTTCCTTTCCAAAACAAAACACAACCTCAATACCATTGCGCTGATGCCAACTCATAGCGACCCTATAGGACAGGGTAGAACTGCCCATGAATTTCAGAGACCCTAACTCTACTGAAGTAGAAAGCCCCGTCTTTTTCTTGTGGAGCCCTGGTGATTTCAAACTGTGGACCTTGCAGATCTCAGTCCAATGTGTAACCACAACACTGCCAGGCCTCCTGAGACTTCCTTCACATCAGGGGTCTAGAATGAAACTTTTGAGCCGGAAGAGCCAATCCTGTCCCTCACCACAATTTTCAAAATTATTTGAGAGGCATACATCTATTTTTGTAAACAAATGAAATCACTATTATTTGAATAATTGCCTTAAAAATGTTACAAATGAAACTATGACCATTTAATTTTCATTTTCAATTGTACTTTAACAGCCATATACATGCACCTAAAGAGCTGCATAGGCTCTCAAGCTCCAGTTTGCTGACCCCTTGCTCTTGATCTACTCAAATGCCGGCCCCCAGGTCTTACCATAGGCCTCTGGCTCCCTCAGCCCAGGGCCATCGCTCCCAAGTAGGCTTCTCCCTCAAGTTGTTGGGCCCAGTGTGGATACTCTTTGACCTGTGAGGCTAGGCCCAGGCTGAGCAGAGCCAAACAGGGCAGGGGAAAGCAGTGTGCATTGGAGGGTGTATCTGGGCCAGATGGCTGACCCCTAACTCCCACCCTCCGCCCTCCAGGATCAATTATACAGATACCAAAACAACCACCACGACTACAACCATACCTGCTGCAAAGTAAGTCAATTCCTACTGTAGGGCCCCTCTAGGATAGGGCAGAGCTGCCCCAAAGGGTTTTCAATGCTGTAATAATCTTCAGAAGTGGACAGCCACATCTTTCCCCTGTGGTGCAGTGGGTAGGCTGGAACTGCAGACCTTCTGGTTAGCAGCTGAGTGCTTTAACCACTATACCACCAGGGCTCCTTCAGACATACACTAAACCCAACCCAACCCTCTGCCATCAAGTCAATGCCAGCTCATAGCAACCTTATGCATAGGGTTTTGGAGACTGTAATCTTTATGGAAGTAGACAATAGCCTCATTTTTCTCCCACAGAGTAGCCAGTGGTCTGAAGGCCTAGCCCACAGCCCTCCAGGGTTCCTTTCACAGAAACACCAAAACCAAACAAGCTCACTGCTACCGAGTCGATGGCAACTCATAGCCACCCTGTAGGACCGGCTAGAACTGCCCCTGTGGGGTTCTGAGACTATAACTGTTTACTGGAGTAGGAAAGCCAGGACTTTCTCCTGAGGAACGGCTGGTGGTGTTGAACTGCTGACCTTGCAGTTAGCAGCCCAATGTGTAACTGCCACATCCCAGGGCTCTGGCAGCTAACAATCAATGCAAATGCACACACAGACTCAGATTCAGAGACTTGCTCACACATCTTCACAAGTACACACACTCATACACTCCCCCATCCCTATACCACACACACAGGGCATAACATCCTGGTTCTTGCATCTGACAGCTGGGCATCCCAAAGTGCTTTTACTTCATCTCTTTGTGTCTTAATTTCCTTATCTGTAAAAATAAGCATAATGATGGCATTCTCCTCTCGGAGTTATTGTGACGATTAAACGAGATACAATGGTCAAGAGCTTCAAATTGCGACTCACACAGGAAATACTCAATACGGACTATCAGACAGTGTGCACCCACGGAGAGAGACACACGTGTCTTCATCGGGTGCTGCGGGGCCTCTCCACTACTGTCACTAGGTTGTTGACCTGGCAGGACAAGTTTGCAGACCCTCCATCACCCTGCGCCTGCCTCTGTCTTCTCTTCTGTAAAATGGAGACCTTACCTACTAGGTAGGGGCCTTGGTGGCATAGTGGTAATGCACTGGGCTGCTAACCGCAAGGTCAGCAGTTAGAAACCACCAGGCGAAAGATGAGTCTTTCTAAGTCTAAAGAGTTACAGTTTAGAAAACCCACGGGAGCAGTGCTACTCTGTCCTATAGGGTCACTGTTTGTGAGTTTGTGTTTTTGGTTTACCTACCAGGTAGGGCCCTTCGGAGGCTCTAAAGAGGCCCAGCATGAAAAATGCCCCTAGACCCTGGGCCACAGGCGCCTCCCTCCACTTCCACTTCCTCTGGCGCTGTCTGTATGATGAAGGGCAGGTCCAAGAACAGGTGCAGGGACACGATGGGTCTTGGGAGGCGCCCAGCCTCCTCATATCCTGCACCAAGGCGTTGGCCAGGCAGCCCTTACCCCCACCCTTTCCAGCTGGAGCTGGGCCCTGTCAGAACAGAATCTAAGACCACAGGGGGTCAAGCCTGCCCTCTCCTTTGGAGCCCGGTCTGGTGGCCGCCTGGCATGGGGTAGGGGGCAGGGCTGGCCGGGTGGCCGTGGGTGGAAGGAAAAGAGGAAAACCGGCGCAGTGGAAATTGCCCTGCGGTTGGCGCTGGCGCCCACGACACTGTATTTATAGTGAGCTCCCTGCAGCTCGCAAATCTTTCCCGTCGAGTTAACCCTTTCGGGGGCTGCGTGGCCAGCGAGAACTCCAGTCTGGGATCCGAGACATCCAGATTGGGGGCTCTGACTCTGCAGCCAGCAGCCTGGGTTGGATGGCGGCGGGTGGGGTCCATCCATGGGCGGACCCTCGGAGGGGGGGCCCCTCTGGCAGAAAATAAACTTCAGATCCTGGAGGTGGGGGATGGGCATCTCGTAGACCAGCGCCCGCCCTGGG